GTGTCTCTAAATTTACACAAATCATACCTCCAACTTAACCCTTTTTGGTGTACAAGTAGCCATGCTTGTTTAGGGAGCTTTTAGAATTGCGAGCCAAGAAAGTACCTTTCTGAAATTCTGCTTGAAACTTAAGAGGCTGGTTCCTCTACTTAAGCGGGGTGGGGTGGGGGGTGGGTGATGGAGAAAGCCCCCCCCTCCCGCAAGTTGTTATTAAAGCTTCAAATCCCCATCAACCTTTGCCTGCATGGGTGGTGGTTTGCAAGCGCTGATACTGGTCATCATGAAGGTTAGAAGGATTTTGTTGTTGTTTAGTTGTGTCCAGCTCTTACTGATAGTGGTCACCATGAAGGTTTAGAAGGATTTTGTTTTTGTTTAGTTGTGTCCGGCTCTTCGTGACCCCATGGACCAGAGCACGCCAGGCCCTCCTGTCTTCCACGGCCTCCCGGAGTTTGGTCAAATTCATGTTGGTAGCTTCGATGATATTAGAAGGATTTAGAAAAGTATATTTTCAGAAACAAATCGAAACCACAAAAGGATGAAGTTGTAACTGAGTTTTATTGATTACAATGATAATGTATTGGTTTGCAAAGCTACATTCCAGTTTCTTGTACCCAAAGCCACATTCTAGAATTGTAGGTAGGAGTTGTCTCTCCCCCATGCCACATAGCTTAGTGGTTTCGGTATCTAGCTGCGGAACCAGAGGTTAAGTGTTCCATTCCCCACTGAGTCTCCTTGACAAGGGCTGGACTCAGTGATCCATAGGATCCCCTCCAGCTCTGGAGTTCAAGATTATTATGTAAGATTATTATTTAAAAGGGGGAAGGAGGGAATATGTTAATCTGCACAATAGTATTTACAGAGTAGGAGCCCAGTTTCATGTAAACTTGCTGAAGAAGGAAAGGAGGGAGGGAGGGAGGAAGGAGCCTAGTTTCCTTATTATAGAGTGGCTTTTTATTTATCTTTTTAAATTCATCATTGCTATCATTTATTGCAGATCCTACCCTTGTATTTTAAAATTAAGTACAGGGTGTTAAGTGTTCCCAATAGATGTGTAATGCTCACAGAATGGTGGATGTTAATCTTAGAGAGAGCCATGGGCCAGACTTCCTTCCACAGGCTGAATATCCAGTACTAGCATCAACCTAGTTTGTTCATTTTTGCTCTCCTACTGTCCTTGACACCTGTGCTCAGCCTACCTTAGATTGAATTTTATGATGATTGCCTTGTGTTTCCTTGCAGAGGCCAGCATCTAAAAACTTGAATGTTTATTTAATTTAAATGGAGTTTAAGGTCTCAAGGTGATGGTTTGATAGAGTGTGGCTTTCCGTTACCGAGACTATCAAGAGATGCTGTGCTGCCCTGATTTTATTGGGAACCAGGAATGTTTTTGGCAAATCTGAAAATACAGATGGAAGGTGCCATTTTAGTGATCATTAGACATTGATTTCGGAATTTAAAATAGAAAACAGGAAAAAAATGCATGCATATATTTTTTGGAAGGCGGACAGATGGTGGATTAAATCTAATTGATTAGAACCTAAATAAATATATATGTCCAGCTGTATGGGGGGGAGGGGAATCCCTCAGAAAATTGAAACAGACATGTCAATAAAACAGGAACATTTTGGCTTAAGAGATGTATTTTAAAAAAAAGGAAATATGTCAAACAGAGCAAAATACAAATTGTGTATCCTTCCCACAAATAGTATAAATGTCAAAGTATAAATAGCTTAAAATATGTGACATGGAGTCTTAAGTAAGCAACTTCAAAATACAATAGCCGAAATCCTGTTGTATAACATAAGCAAAATCATAGGCTTCAGTCTGTTCTTCCTGGATAATGTAGAGTCCCCACTGTTCTGGCACAACATGGTAAAAATACATATTTTTGGATTATTTTCTTTTACCATGATATGTATAGAATTCACTTTTATTCACGGTTCTCAGCATTCGTGGGGTTGGGGTGGGGTTGGAATGAATCCCCCACAGATATGGGGTTGTACTGTAACTCTTATCACTGATTCAAAGGCATGGTTTGCATGACATTCAATCAAAACCAAGACTGGCAAACCTACGTTGGGGGTCCAGGGGCTGATTTTCTAACCTGTAGCCTTCTGTGATCCTGATGATGTTAGGTGTGTGTGTGAGGAAACCCCGCCTGCTGTTACAACTGTGACATGTCTAAAGGTAACGGTAAAGGTTCCCCTTGACATTTAGTCCAGTCGTGTCCGACTCTAGGGCGTGGTGCTCATCTTCGTCTCCAAGCTGTTGAGCCAGCATTTGTCCAAAGACAATTTCTGTGGTCACGTGGCCAGCGCGACTAGACACGGAACGCCGTTACCTTCCCACCAAGGTGGTACCTATTTATCTACAATACTCACATGTATTTGCTTTCGAACTGCTAGGTTGGCAGGAGCTGGGACAAGCAACGGGAGCTCACTCCGTTGCATGGATTCGATCTTACGACTGCTGGTCTTCTGACCTTGCAGCACAGAGGCTTTTGCGGTTTAACCCGCAGCACCACCACGTCCCGCGTGACATATCTATCTGTGTTTAAAAGGCATAGTTACTATAAAGTTAACTGATAAAGAGTTCCCAAAAATGAATTAGTTTCCAGGCTGTGAATTATACTCTGGCAGCAAAAACAATGCTTGACATGTCTATTTATGTATAAAAGACATGGTTACTATAAAGTTAACTGATAGTTTCCAAAAATGTATTAGTTTCCAAGCAGTGAATTATACTCTGGCAGCAAAAACAATGAAAAGTCTTGAGGCACCTTAGAGACTAATGAGTTTTACTTGTCCTAAGCTTTCGTGGACAGCAGCCCCCTTCATCAGGTAGTGAACTACAGTGCACCAATGCTTATGCAAATAAAACTAAATTCTTAAAGTTCTACAAGAGCCTCATGGTGCGGTGGTTAACCTGCTGTACTGCAGCCAAAACTGTGTTCATGACCTGGGGTTCAATCCCAGGTAGCTGGCTCAAGATTGACTCAGTCATCTATCCTTCCAAGGTTGGTAAAATGAGTACCTAGTTTGCTGCAGGGGTGGGTGGGGGTGAGGCGGCGGCAGCAATGTGTAGCCTGCATAATTAACTTGTAAACCGTCCAGAGAGTGCTTGAAGCGCTGTGAGGTAGTATATAAGCAACACATTTTGCTTTCGCTTGGTATATAAGCAACACATTTTGTTTTCGCTTTGCTCTTCATTAAAATGCATTAGTTACATGACAATGGAACATGGAAGGAGCTGGAACTCAATCATGGATATTGTATATTTTGCATACAATAGGAACTGATTTCCCTTCCTGGTATTTCCTGTTTTTTTGGGGGGAGGGGGTTTGTTATGGGAAATAGAGCCGGCTTTGAGCTTTAGCAGAATGAAGTCATCTGTTTAAGATAGTACTGGTGGAGAGCAAAGGGAGAAGTAGATCATTATAAGCGTTGTTGTCTAAATGCTACAACAGTTTTACAAAATGTTTTTTAGCCTGAGTGGTGGTGGTGAAGACCTCATTTGACTCTGCTTAGTTACTTTTTTTTTATTATAATATAAGCTGTTGGTTTGTGGTAGAAATCACATTTTCCCTTCCATCTACCCACAACAAAAGCACAAACTAGAATAAACCAGCACTTGAACATGTGATATTCCTCCTCCATCATTTAGTGAGGTCATCTCTCCAGAATCATCAGAAGAATTAGGAAGTTAGTTTCATCAGATAAGGAGTGATATTATCTCTTGTTAAAGTACAACCAAAGTGTAACTCAATAATAATAACATTTTCAGGGAAAGGAGCTAATGACAACTAGTTGTTTGTAACTAATCACTTCTAAGCTCTGTTCTCAGAATACTGTGTTCTAGAGAAGACTGAATGGGAGGGTGCTGTTGTGGTCACATCCTGCTTGTGGGGTACTTTGCCCACTGTACAAACAGAGTGCTGGGTTTGATAAACCTTTGGAGAAATTGTGCTTTGTGTGGGAGCCAAGAATGTGAGTAGGCGTTCCCTAGATTGAACCTCATTATGGCTGTCAACGTATCAGCAGGGCAGATCCCCACCCCACCCAATTCCATGTATGAAAACTGTTGGGACTTCAACACTGATAATTAGGAAAGCTCCTCCCTTACACCTAAATACCAGAGGCCAGTTTAAGAGATGTAAGACAATTCTAACTGGCCTGTTTAGTAGAAAGAAAAGGCCACAGCCCAGGGGCTCAGATGGAGCAATTAAGAAGGGAGCTACCAAAGCCGTCCCCCACCCCCATCTCCCGCCTGAGATGGTTGCCTCTTATTGCCTTAAATTACAGTTGACACCACACATTTTTAGGTTACTTTAGGAATTCCACCACCTTTCATCTTCAGTTTCTGACCTATCATGTAAGGTGGTTGTAGTGAGGATTCCCAAGAAGGACAATGTGACAAGTGAATAGAACTCTTTAAAGAACATACATACTATAATCTAAAACCACAGACTGTTGTTAATAAATTTTGAACCATCCTCTTTCTTTTGTTTCCCTTCTTCATGGCCCTTCAAAATAGCAAGTAGATGTTTGTGAACAGTGATGAACTGTTCTCTTGAAGGAAACTAACTGCATAAGGATATCTGGAGTCTCCTTGCCCTTTTCTGGGTAGAATACTTTTAAAAATGGCTCAAGTGTTGTTTTCAGCTGCGACTGGTTGGAAAGTTGTTATTTCTGCCTCGTTTCTTGAAAGTCTGGTATCATTGGCGCAAGCCTCAGTGGTGTGTGGGATGCCTTTTTTGGGTTCTGGGTTTTTTTTAATGTTCTTCATTTTTTCAATCTTTGTTGTTTTAATGGCTTCAAACTGTGAAATGCCCCAGCGTTCCTGGAGGCATTGTTCTCAAATTCTACTCTTGACCTTTACCTTCCACTGAGAGGTAACATTAGTCTAATTGTGAAGCAATCTTGCTTGACTTTAAAGCACCATCTCCTGGGAAGGTTAATCTCTTGTTCTCTCTTTTTTTGTCTCCCTTCCTTCCTTTAAAGATTCATCATCCAACTACATCAGACAACTTGAAACAAAAGTCAAATTGCTAGAAGATGATAACAAACTTCTTTCCCAGGTAAGTGGATTTATAGCATGTGGTAAAGTAAAACAGGTAGGGAGTACTTGGGGTAATGACTGCTGTAAATCAGTTGATAAGAGAAATGTTATATGCAGTGATGGGACTGTTAGCAGACCAACTTCTTTGCTTTGTTGAGCCTGTTGTGTTGAGATTTGGAAAAGCATTATTTGTGATATTATCACAGGTAGTGGGAGAAATTATTCCCAAAATATCCCAGTCAATGCTTCCATTTGAAGTCCAAAGAAAGTGACTTTCCCTACCTTCATGCTAGTTAAGTTGTTAAATTTAAAAAAGGGGTTTCAGATGTCGACTAGAAATGGGGGGGGGGGTTCCTGCACTGGTTGTGGTTTCATGTCAAAGCAAGGGAAGGCTGGCAGTGTATACTGAAAATTACTAATGATCTTCTAGATCAATGGTTCTTAACCTTTTTGAAAGAAACGCCCCCTTGAGCCATTGAGGAAGTTATCATCGCCCCCCTCCCCGCGGTGATGATATCTTATTTATTTATTTATTT